GGGGGGGGGGGGGGGAGGGAGGTACGAACAGTAAGTGTCGATGGCCACGTTGATGCTCTGATTGTCGGCGAAGCCCATCATCTCCTTGCCCGGTGGGGCCTCCTGCGTGACCACCAGGAGATTCTGTCCATTTTGCCAGTCGCCGTCCTCGTTCTCGATGGTCGCGATCAGTGACCCGTTGCCGCCTTTCAGCGCGCAGTTGCCCTTCTTCTCGGCGACGTGCACACTCATCTCGGCTGTTATTCGCGACACGCTTGCCAGGACGATAGCACAAGGACTCTCCTTCTCGGACTTATTATCTTCGATCGGCCGCACTTTTCACCTCTCTCCTCGTGTCCTCAGTTTCGTCCGATATACAGTTTCACGTTCCGTCCACGAACACTAGTCTACTAGTTTTCCGTCCGCCTAGTTACGTTTCGAGCCTCACCGCAGTACAGCCTACCTAGATCACTTTTTCACCCTTCCTCCTGGCCACGAAGAGAGAGAGAGAGAGAGAGAAAGAGAGCAGGAAGCGCGGACGAGCCGATTGGCCGACGCTATAGCGGACTGACGCGTCGCGCGTCGACACGGGCGGAGACGGAGAGACCGAGGGAAACCGTGCAGGAGCGTATCTACGCGCGCGACCGGCCGGTGAGGGTCTTTTGTCATCTCAGAGAATTCATGATTTCGTTTATAGGCGGCTAACTCGTAATATTCTTCGTCGATTTAGTCAGAATCCCTGCGATCTTATACGAACAACTCGATAAGTTTTTCATTGGCCACATTCTAAACTGCATCGAAAACTTGCTCACAACCCGTTCTTATACTTAAAAACCATGTTAAACATACCTTTAAATATTTCTACAGCCAGTAAAATAATCTGTACAGCATTCGTACCGATCGTTTTATCGGCTAAGAAGTTTCTCAAAATATATTTAAGACAATTTTAAATATAAAAACTGATTCAAACTGTTCTGCGAACGTTGCTTAGAGATTCTCGTGAAAAATCGAGCGTTCCGTGAAAAATCTCGACGCGGCAAGAAGCGGCGTCTCAACACAAAGATCAGCCAAGGTTTCTCACGAATCCACGAAACTGAATTCAGTTTTATCTAAGCGTTCCGTCAAAGGTCTCGGGTATATTTTCATTCGCACCTTGATCGCTATTTTTTTTTTTTGAAAACCCGAACAACGACTGTGCACGCACACACTCGGGTCGCCGAGTTTTCTCGATGAACACAACGCTGCTTACGCTCCTGCCTCACAAAGAATCAAAACGGGAGAAGCTATAACGATAAAGAGGGGTGAGGGGGGACAGAAGGAAAGGGAGGGGGGATGGGAGAGATCTCCCCTCTGAGTGCAGAGAGCAGATGGAATAGGTACCCAGTGGAATATTCCATTGTCGTGTTCAACCAAAAGGGAGGAAGTAGTAAATGAGAGGGTGCCGGGAGTGAGGAGGGGGATACCTGCTATAGAAGGAGGGGTGACAAAAGCATACGCGGCTGATGGCGCACGCGGTGTAACGGTGTGTTTATGAAAAAAACCAGGAAAAAAAAAGGAATACTTTCACATCACACGATGTGTGTTTTTTTTGGCGCGCCCGATCGAAATGAAACGCCGACTGAAAGCGTTTATCTACGCCCCCTTTTTTTGTACACCCGGTCGGCGTGAAGACAAAGTCCACGAGGCGAAATGAGAGGTAATACCGTGTGTGTCAAACGCACGAGTCCGTCGCGGCGGAAACGAATCCGGAGAGAATCGGAGGCCACGACGATGAGCGGGCGATTAAAAACTTATTAATTCGCCGCTAAAGTTAGTTGTTTAATACTATTTTTATCTCGTAAAGAGGGGTCTACGGTGAGAATTTAAGGTGTAAGTTTTAAAAAGCTGACCAATCATAATTGATTTTTCTTCTATAATTCGACTGTGATTGGTCAATTTCTTAAGGCTTATGCCTTAAATTGTCATTGTAGACCCTGCCTTAGTTCCGGTCTACAATAGATGCTTCAAGCCCTAAGCTTAAAAAATTGACCAATCACAATCGAAACCAAGATATAGAAAAAAAATCAATTATGATTGGTCAATTTCTTAAATTTTACACCTTACGACTGCGATACATATCAATGGCTGCGTTTGGCAAACATAAACAAATCAGCGTGTGGTCAGTGGTTATCACTGTTAAATCCCTAAATTTCGACCAATTATGTTGACGAATTACTCAACCGTTGCACAACCAATTACACTGTGCTCGTGTTTTCCGAAACGTGACCAATTACCGTCCCTCTTTCTCCTCGGCAGTCGAAATTGCACCTGCTCGCTTACACTCTGCTATACCATCTGCGTGCGCGAAACGAAAAAATATTCCGTACATACAAGCTGCCCTCTCCAGCTACACTCGGCTGCATTATGTGCACTTCAAGCAAATATACTCTCTCCAGCTCCGGAGAAGAAAGAGAGAGGGAGAGGGGGAGAGAGAGAGAAAGAGAAACGGGCAGACACGACAAAATGTATATAAAAAACGACACAAATTTATTTGAATTTCTGCGAGTATCACGAATGATCGCGAGGAAATGACAAGAGAGAACCGGATGAAGCTCAGCAGAGAACGCAGAGCTCGAAAGGTCAAGGGTGTCTGGTGCTAAGTCGGAAGTCCCGAAGGACGACACAAGTGTGAACGTACCAACGTTAGACAGCTGCTGGATCTCGTTCATCTTCAATATCACGCCGGTGCCCGCTATCTGCGGGTGGCCCTGTTGCTGTTGCTGCTGCGGTTGCTGTTGCGCCTGCATGGCGGCCGTGGTCGACGGTGTGAGAACGGAACGAAGACGCGAGGAACGCACACGCGGGAACGGGGTGCGGGAATTGGACTGATGGGACGCGCGTCTTCCGGTTCAACTCGCTCGGCGTAGACGCGCGAATTCTTCTCTCGGAGGTCGAAGATGATCGATATCTCTACGTGCACCCGTATCGCAATTTTCTCGCGCGCGCCATTACGTACCCTTCGCGGAAGCCGCCGGAAACTAAAGAGTCACGCTCGGCTGTCCTCGGCGGTTCGCGCGACTGCTCGGCATCGGTGACGGAGACAGACAGTGGTGCGAGGAGCGGAGAGAGAGAGACGCACAGAGCGAAGGGACGAACGTGATAGGCGGGTTCCACTTAACACTCGCAAAGACGCAAACATCATTCTATCTTTATTTCTCGCTGGATGTTAAGTAAAGATAGAATGGCGTTCACGTTGTTGCGAACGTTAAATGAATCCTCCCGATTTGATTCGTCGTTTCCCGAGTGGCTACAGCTCGGTCTACAATGTGCTCCTTGTGTCTCGTTTCTTGCTCTCTGTCTCTATAAGCGCGTGATATTATTTAATATTAAGTAATATTCCGGACATATTCTTAGAATAGACGTAATATTTTAATAATGTTCTAGTAATATTATTTAATATGAAGTAATATTTCTGGAATATTAGTAATAGATGATTATATGTCTACTCCTGATAATATTAAAAAAATAATCTAATTTAATGGTATTGTAATATTATATATTTTTTAAATATTAAATTCTATGCATATTTATAATTGTAGTTATTTCAAATGTATTGCAATACCAATTGTTTTATTATATAAATAAAGTCAAAAGAATTTTGTGACGACGATTCGATAGCCAATAGGAGAATGTGATTTCTAGGAACAATAATGTTCCTAGCTAGTAACTTTAAAAAGTGAAATCTTGATGCATCACGAGATACATTCAGCTACATCTTTTGGGAATAAAAGAATGTACCTTAAATGTCGGTCTACAATAGATATTTTAAGCCTTAAAAAGTTGATTGATCACAGTTCGTCAATTATTCTCTTCACACTCGACTGGGATTGGTCAATTTCTTCGGCTTAAAGTTTAAAATACCTATTGTGGACTGACGCTAATGTAGAGTGACCCTAACATCTCACCGCAACTTAAGATAGCAATTCGTAACTAATGGTTGTCATTATTGTTATTTCGTGACATCTTCGGTGACGGGGGCATTCACGGCACATTGTAGAATGCCCTTAATATTCGTTATTCGATCAATCGGCACCGACAGAGTGGAGCCGCTCCGTCCGTTTGTGATGTCGGCACACCGATGCGTCTGATCTCTCTCTTCCCTTCACTCGTACAGCCCTGATCGCTTCGCCATCTTGACGTGCGAAGGGCACCGGTGAAAATCTCCGACGACGCATTACGACGTCACTACCACCGCCCCCACCTCCGGCGAGACTCGCCGCGGTTTCCCGTCGCCTCGGTCTCATTCCTTCGCGGTTCGTCGGCACCGCATGGTTTTGTGCTCGGTCTCAATCTTATTGCAGATCATCTGTAAATCAGTTATGGCGGATAACAAGGAGCGCACCTTAATCCTAGTCAAGCCGGACGGCGTGCAGCGCGGCCTGGTCGGTAAGATCATCCAGCGCTTCGAGGAGAAAGGCTTCAAGCTCTTGGCGACGAAGATGGTTTGGGTAAGCGGCCGTTCACGCGATTTCTCGCTCCACTCGCGTACGAACGCGACGGAGATCGATGCCAAGATTCGCGAGCGCGCCACGTGGCCCTCTGTAAAAGAAAGAGACAAAGACAAAGAGAGAGATATATATACATATATATATATGTATATATATATATATAATATATATGTATAAAGTACCTAGGTAATATTATTGAAAAGTGAATACTTTAAGATACATTTCATATTTTGTGCTGGAAAATATCAGAAATAAGAAATAAAATATCTCAAAAAGTATTCAATTTTCGATGATCTTACTGTAATACTTTTATACGTAGAATAAACAGAGAAATCGATTTGTGTTAAGAAAACTATATGATTCCGTTAACAAAAAGAATTAAATTGACTTTCATTTGACGTTGACATCTCTATTCAAAGTCAAACTGATAAAATCAGATTATCTTTCAATCATTATAAGTCTCTAAGATATAACTTTAGAATCACAGAACCAGAATAAAAGGCCACCCTGATGGAAATATTTTGCTGAAATACTCTCTCAATTCACCCTCATTTCATTGATAAACGCGATTTTCAGTTTAATTTGGTAAATTTCACGATATCTAATATTTCAAAAATTGTTTTATTACTTTTTTCTTTCTGGCATGTTGTAGCCTACTGAGGAACATCTGAAGAAACACTATGCCGATCTGGCAACGAAGCCCTTCTTCCCTGGTTTGGTCAAGTACATGAGCTCAGGACCAGTCGTAGCGATGGTAAGCTCACATTGCAATCAACTTTTTGAATGTATAAACATGTATGTGTGACTTATGAGTGTCTTATGTAGACTATGAATATACAATAAGATCTCTCTGTAGTGAAACCTTATTAATTGATTAAATCTATCTTAAGATGATATTTGGATAGAAAGCATTTTTTTACTTTATTATGCCACTATAAACTCCACGCTCTATGACTCCTGACGCTCTTGTATTATTATTTTCTTTTCTCATCTTCTTTATTGCACAAAACTTACAACTTAAACAATCTCCAGCAAATTTATACCGTTCGGGAGCAAAAATCAGAAATGCTTAAATAAAATGCATGAGTTTTTGTAGTGACGTAATTTTCTTTTAATAAAATCGTTCACTCCATTGAAGGTCTGGGAAGGTTTGAACATTGTAAAAACGGGTCGCGTGATGCTGGGCGAGACAAATCCGATGGATTCGGCTCCCGGCACCATCCGTGGCGACTATTGCATACATATCGGCCGTAACATCATTCACGGCTCTGATTCCGTCGGGTCTGCCATAAAAGAGATTGATCTTTGGTTCGGAGAGAAGGAAGTGATCAACTGGACGCATGCATCCGACAATTGGATTTACGAGTAAAGATCCGTGCACGTGACGATTCCTCCAGAAGATGATGCCGTCTCTTTACAAATCCATCTCATTAGAGAGTATTCCTCAGCCCGCATTACCAGAACTTTGGGTAGGCGATTCAAACTACTGAAGGTGTGACTGACGTTTGTTTGAAAATATCTACCGAGAAACTTGTTAAGAATAAATAAATTGTCAAACTCCATCAGAAGAAGATGAGGAACCCTGTCCTCAAAATAGATAAAGTAAAAATAAGCTGCCGAAAATCATAAAAAAATATTGTAAAAAATTTAAAAAAATAAACTGCCGAAATTCATAAAGAAGTATTGTAAAAGATAAAAAAATAAATACATTGTTAAAAATTAAAAAAGTAACTGTCGAAGTTCACAAAAGAAAACAATAAAAAACTTAAAAAATAAGCTGCCGTGAAAAAATAAAAAAAAACAGGAGCTGTTGTGAAAAATTAAAAAGTAACTATTGAAATAAAAAAGAACAGTTCAACAAATAAAAAAACAAGCTTCATGAAAAAATAAACTGTCCTGGGAAAATAAAAGAAACTGGGAAAAAAAAGAAATAACTGCCGTGAAAAATTGAAAAGGTTGCTATCGAAGTTTATGAAAAAGAATAGTTCAGAAAATAAATAATAAGCTACTGTGAGAAAATGAAAAAAATAGCTGCCGAGATATTTATAAAACAAAAACAGTTTTCAGAAAAAAAAAATAAACTACCGAAACATATTAAATAATATAAAAAGGAAAAAGAAAGCTGCCGTGGAAATATAAGAAAGAATTACTTAGTGACATTTAGTTTCTATAGTTTATTTTATAACATTCATATAGAAACTAAATAACATTTTACAACTTGTATGGGAAGTGAACTATCGAAAATAAATCACATTGTTATTAAATGCTACTATTGGTGCAACCAAAGTTGTAAAAGGTGATTTTTACAAATATAAGTTCAGTTTATCCAAAAATATCTTGATATAATAGATTAATGTATTTCTTCTGTATTTTCCTTCCCATTAATTTTCTTTCTCTAATTGTGTTTGTTAATTGTAATTTACAATTTAGTTTAAAGAATACCGACAACTTTTGTTCATAAATTCTTAAAAGTTTTGTTGTATTAATATTTTGATTCTTATTACCGGACAATACATTCAGAAGCAGTAGAAGTACTAAAAAAAAGTTGTTAACAAGATAAAATATAGTGGGCCTAATATATCCTTATAAATATAGGACACAATAATGAAATAATGTTACACAGTTGCGTACTTACATATATTTGTTAGTAAAAAATGTATAAATGTAATCCTATAGATCAAGTACGTGACAATACTTTCTGTAACAGTGCTTCATTTACGAAACAAGATCACATGTATTACAAAAAATGAAATGTCTCTGTATCGCGCTATATGAAAATAATTATTTCTACTATGCCCGCATTTACATCAAATTTTGCGAATAATATACGAACGACTCACATTCAATTTTCATTATCGATTAATCGTTTCGATTAATCGTTATATATATAAGAAAATAAGGAAAGAAAATTGTGTACATACACATCGATCTTTGTGTAAATTTATATCCCTATAAGCGCGTAATATTCCTAGAATATTATACGATTATTATTAAATATTAAAATAATATTTTATTTTTATAATATTCTAGGAATGTTGTATAGTATTTTTTAATATAGGAATATATTCTATTGATTTTATTGATTGATGTTATATATGTCCACTTAACATATATTCTTGGCATATTATACAAATNTACAGTTATATATACTATATATATACATAGAGTTGGACATTTAACAAATATATAATATTACAATAACATTATTTATATTATATTAATAATATTATTTTTTTAATATTATTAGAGGGATGGACATATAACCATTTATTAATATTCCAGAAATATTACTTAATATTAAATAATATTACCAGAATATTATTATATAATATTATGTCTAATATTTCAAGAATATGCCCAGAATTATGTAACATTATATAATATTACACGCTTATAGGGATATTATGTACAGGAGAAACGAAACTCATGGTCTCTTACGCGTGAACGTAACAACTGCACGGTATTTTTATTCGTGCGATGCGCGCGTTATCAAAACACAACATCAGCCGTGCGCAATGTGCAGCTCAATCGACGGTAACGCGGTGCTGCAATCTCTCCTTTGTATTTTAATGCAATTATGATGTATTAATTGTCACACGACCCGAGGTAAGCGCCGCAGGATGGACAGTAATGCTTCTTAACCAAGCAGCTGTCTATGCAGTAAGGACACGGTGCGCAGCACCAGCAGCTGTAAAAGAGAAAAAACCGGAACTATGTTAAGCTCCAGAGTAGTAATAGCTGCGGTCATATTAGCTTCGTCATAAGCGACATCCTTGCACAATAACAGGCAACAGGAATAAAGAATGACACAGGCAGTAGATTTGCAATCTATCGGAAACCGTGTCAAATTGCTGTGCATTTATACACGGTTTCCGATAGGACGGTTGGAAATCTATTGCCTGTGTTATTCTCTGTTCCTGTTGCCTAGCGTTGCAAAGACCTTTACAGGCCTTTACGGCATACGTGGAAATAAAAGAATATGTGCATAAAACGGCATTCGTAATTCAGCACGCTTGTAAATATGTCCGGATTTTCCTTTAATTTGAATAATCACCGGGAGTCTTAATTAATCGCGCCATCATAACTTGCGCTTCATAAGATCTTACAAGAAGACGCAGAGAAGAATCGCCATTATGTGTGTCTTCGTGTTCGATTCGGTTTCTACCCGTGTGGATATATTAGCATGACACTGCGGACAGGTCATGCGTTGCGTTTCGGGGCCGAATCCTCCTGTCACAACGATCATTTCTGCAATCATATCGAGTCGCATTTTATTAGCCAGATATTCTGAAAATTAAGCATCTAATATTCCTAGAATGTTATATAAATATTAAAATAATATTCTTATAATATTCTAAGAATGTTATGTAATATTTTTTTAATATTATAGGAATGTTCTATTGATGTTATATGTCCACTTAACGTAATATTCTTGGCATATTATACAAAATGTTCTTAGAATATTTAAAAAAGTAAAATAATATAGAAATGTATATATATATATATATATAACATTTTTTAAATATAAAACATTTTTATCTGTTAATCTGTTAATATTCCAGAAATATTAATATTAAATAATATTACCGGAATATTATCAGAATATTATGTCTAATATTCTAAGAATATGCCCGGAATATTACTTAATATTAAATAATATTACTTATAGCGTGAATCAGTCAACTTCCGACAAGCTACGCGGTCACTTATGTCAGGCTTGGAATATTTTTCCACGCGGTTTACCGGACGCTTCAATATATGCTCGCCGAAAACTTGATTTCTTCGACTGGGAAATCGCTGATTATTTATATTTACGTGGCTGTGCCTGCTGCTGCTGCTGCTGCGCGTCATAAGGGGGTGGTGGCGCGAAACCCGGTGGTGGCGGATGTGCGTTTTTGTCCATTGTTGTTGTTTATCGTCCAGCTAGCAACAGAAAAGTGGCGAGAAACGTTACAATTTCGTGCGGAAGGAAACGAGCGGAAACGTTTCGCACACGCACGACCTCGTACGATTATTTCGTTAGCTGAGTTGCCGAGGTCGTGCAGGAACAGATAAGGGCAAAAAAGCGGATCAGAAGTGTAGGAAACTTGGAGTCGAATCGATGACGTCGTGGGCGCAGAATTCTTTGTCGGTTGGATAAAAATAGAATCGCGCGCGGGGAATAAGATTGCCGATTTTGAAGGCCGATGATGACGGATATTTCACGGGACGATTGAATACATTCGAATGACCTTGTGGGACGACCAAAAACACCTCCTTCCGTTGACCTTTCGGCGGTCATCTTAAACAGAGCGTAGAACGCTTTTTCGCGCGTTTTCCACACGCGTGGCGTTTCCCGCTGTGTTGCACGGCGACGAAACGAAATTTTATTCTGGCGTTACGATCGATCCTCGAAGGGCAGAAGAAAGGATAATGTCAAAATAATGACAAAAATAACAAGAAAGGTTAAATAAAAATTCGCTTTTCGATTACAATCCAATTATTTCTCCGTTATTTTGATATCGTTTTGATGATATCGTGATTTTCGGTTCTACCCGCATGGGGAAGACAAGTCTCGCTGGAACAGCGTAGTTGTCTGTTAATATAGTGACAGTAAAAATATTTGTTACAGGGAAAAAATAATTTTGCTGTTGTAGCAAGATGTCATTGCGACAACAATGAAATTTAGTTGGCACAGCCAAATTATTTTGCTGTCCGTGTATCTAGCAAATAACAATCGATATTCTCCCAGCAAATCTTTCTACCGTCCAAATAAACTTTTTTTTCCTATCACTATATAAACAGAATTTTGCTATTCCAGCAAAATTGTTTTCTCCATGTGAGTTGTCATCCGATGTCTCGGTGGAAAAATTTCTCGTCCCCCTCTCTTTCTCTCTCTCTCACGATCGGCATATGCTGCTCTGCAAAACCAGTACCAGTCACGGGCATCGCGTTTATAACATTTGCACAACGCGTATACTACGCGTCCGCACAAATCAAGTTCGAGCGACTTGCGGATTATCTTATCGCCGTTCCGCAGTGTTCGCAGGATTAATGCCACAACATTTTTACGCGATATCTTGTAATCTCCTCTTATCGTGGAGCTTATTCGATGTTTCTCGTAACCTTGACGGAACAAATAGAATCGAATAGACATATCGGACAACTGATAAATAAGGACAATTTTTCGATTACGAGCTAAATTAATTAACGAATTTTATCGTGAATACCTCGCGCGCGCGCGTCCGGAGTGTTACGAAGAGACCTATTTTTGCTTAAAGTTTATAAATGAGAGTACAGATTTTTGGGATATTTTTTTATTAAAAGTGGAAGGAGAGGAATAAGAGAGGAAAAGAAGTTAAAAGTTGAGCGTGCGAAGGAAATGATGATATTCGAACTGAATTAATATAGCGTGTGAAAACAAAGAAGGAAACAATCGTGATGTTCGTGTAGCCACTCAAGTCATTTTAGATCGCACTGTATCGTACATTAATGCCGAATAACATTTCAGTTTGAACAATTTCCGTAATGTTTATGTTTCATTTGCTATTTTCCATCTTTAATAAAAAGCGTCCCAAAAAATTGTGCTATCATTTGTAAACTGTAAGCACACGGACAATCGCAAAAAGGTAGCGACACTTTTCGCTCGTAAGTTTCGCAACGCATCCTGCGTCCGATGGGAGAATTTGCTCATTAATCATTCTCAGGAGGTAAGTTCCCCTATTGAATAAGAGATGCGAGACTGAGAAAGGAAAGGTGCAAATCTTTTCGTGACTGGCTGTACACATAAAACTTATGATTCATATATTTCGCGCGAATTTCAATGCCACATCAGCTCGGCGTGTATAAAGATAACGAGAAGTTTAATTGCGTCATTACTCATTTTAACCGCAGATCGCGATCGTCGAGTGCTGACGTATTTACTTTATTGTGAAGTACATGTGTGCGTTACTTTTGTTCTTTTTCTATTTTTTTCTGATGCACACGACACGTGTACGCGCGCGTGTGCAATGCCGTCTCGTTTCTGCGAAGGTGGAAACGCCCGACGCCGCGCGAGGAATGCGAGGAATCTCTTCATTTTGACCGGCGCTCTCTCTCTCTCTCTCTTTCTCAATTTCCTCTCATTGATGTTTCTTTGCTGCAGCAGAAGTACTGATAATATAAGCGCGGCGTGAGGATAAATTTAAACGTGCGCCATGAAGCGCGTAACACGGAGCGTGCCTCGTACGAGATTCAAAGCCAACACGAGTGCCAAACAATGTTATCCCAGTAAACGAGAAATTGATACAACGTTTACTAATTGATAAAACATGCAACGTTTTCAAGTATCTGGTACTTAATGTTGCATACAACGTCATTCTCTATAAGCGCGCAATATTCCTAGAATATTATATGAATGTTATTCGATGTTAAAATGATATTCCTGTAATATTCTAAGAATGTTATGTAATATTTTTTTAATGTTACAGGAATGTTCTATTAATGTTAGTTATATGTCCATTTCAAACATAATATTCTTAGCATGTATATGCTTAGCATCCCTTTAATTAATTAAACCGTTAAATACTGCGGGAGTAACGAACCGTGGGATTTTAATCTTTGTATATGCCGTACCCACACAGAGAGAGAGAGAGAGAGAGAGAGAGAGATCAGCAGAGAAGATTAAAAACCACTTCCCTTCGATATAAAAGGGGTGATCTCAAATATTCTGTACATACACACATAGAGTTGAATATTAAAAAACACATAATTTAACAATAATATATTAAACAATATTGCTAGAATATTATTGGAACATTACATCTGATATTCTAAGAATATGCCCGGAATATTGCTTAATATTAACCCCTTGACATACAAATAAAACAGAATTTGATGCGTCCGAAAAATACTATTTATTTTTGCTCAATAAACAGTTATGTGCAAGCTTGTGAAACAATTGAGTAATCACAAGTGAAATAATTGAATAATCTAATAATATACTGCAGTGCATCACCGAAGAGAGTTCTTGACGCCTCGGAGATATCAAAGTCTACAATGGTATGTGGAATGAATGACGTCTCCCGGACGTCATTGTATGTCAAGGGGTTAAATAACATTACACGCCTATAGGATGTGAACCATATTTGAACCATATTTGATTAAACGTGGAAAATAATGTTTCTACACAATGACTTCAATATTTAAGACTATAATATTACATCATGTAACAGTTTAAAAACACATGAAATATTACGTCAAATTGTCCATAAAATCCGCATAAAATCCATCAATATTCGAAAGATTGACTTAACGTTTCCTGCTTACTGGATTACGACGGATGAAGGAGCACTCGCGACGAGAAAGAAAAATTAATTCTCTGATGATGCACTCGGGCGGCTTAATATGCAGTCCTTTGTATTCCGTCCCATCTCCGTGGAATCTGCCCGTCCCCTCCACTCCCCCCACTCCCCCCTGTGCACGTGTCAAAATATTTTTCATTCTCGGAACGCATAATGGCACTCACTCACGTGATGTGTCCCTCGAGTGATCGATCCTATCGACATCCAGGAAAAGTAAACAGCCCGCCTCCGATATATCGCTGAGCGCAATTCACAGTGAGAGATAACTGATACGCCGAACGTTTTTATCGCGCGCCTCTTGGCCTTCAGTCGACGCTAAGGCGACGGCACAGGTTCGATTTCGAGTTTCCCACATCCGTTTCGTCCCGCCTGCAGTCTTCTTGACTCACGATCTTTTTTAATAAGCCTCGCGCCTCTCGCCGCTTTTTTTCTCGCCCATGTTGATTGGGTCGCTCGTAAAAATAGAATGACGGCACCGGCGGGGTATACCCGTACAAATTATATCATCGCCGATTCGAAATCAGGAACCTTCACCGAATGCCGATAATCGCTCTATACATACGCCCACAACGTGTCCAGCTTCGAGAGACTTTATCTGCCTTTTTATCCGGTTATCTGTTATCTCCCTCGCGTTGTTTATTAACCCATTTGAAAGAACAGAGGAATTATCTATTTTAGTGGAATTTATATGAAACGTTTACGTGATAACTATCATTTCCCGAAAACGATATCTGAAATACTAAAACGGAGCAAATGTTCTGAGAACGTTTCCGGGATGTACTCAGTATTCAGTTCTGAAACGCCTGTCCCCAGGGCATCCTACGTGATACATTCTTCTACGTGATTTGGGAACATCCTGTGCTACACGTCCTATAAGCACGTAATGTTATTTAATATTAAGTAATATTCCGGGCATATTCTTAGAATATCAGACGTAATATTCTAATAATATTCTACTAATATTATTTAATATTATTGTAATATTATATGTTTTTTAAATATTCTAAGAACATTCTTATAATATGTCAAGAATATTATGTGAAGTGGACATACAACATCAATGGAACATTCTTGTAATATTAACAAATATTACATAATATTCTTAGAATATTATAAGAATGTCATTTTAATATTGAATAATATTCATATAATATTCTAGGGATATTACGCGCTTATAGGGTGGCTGTAGAATCTATGGCTCGTATTTTGAACGCGCTTACAACTTAGCGCGCTAATTATACGAGAAATGTGAACATTCCTAATGCGGTGGTAGCGGTGCCCTATTAAAAAAAAAAAATCGATGATCACGCGTATTTATAACAAAATTCCTATTCAGAGTTACTAATAATTTGACTTGTTCGCACGTCCCAGAATACGGGTTATTGGGTGTAATAACGGTAATAATGAAATAAGTGACGGTCGGTTGTGCACTCGAGTGTCCCATCAACGTCGATCGGACTAGACCGCGATGGATCCGACTTTCTTCTGTCTGAGAACTCCGCCGATTTCTCGGCCCTTGCAGAAATTTATTACCGGAATTACCAAGGAATCTACGGTGACTAATGGCGGTGTTTCAGTAACTATTTGGCCAATACTTGATCATCAGTTGATTTATTTCAAATTATATGCGTAAAAAGATTGCGTTTTCTTGATTGATAATAATATAATAAAATGAGAAAGTAATGGAAAAAGAAGAAAGGAAGGAGGAAGAGCAAAGAAGAAATACAGACGCAAGACGGTCTTCAAACCTGGGCTATTTAGTTCCCTTGCAGAAGAATATTACTAGCCAATTTATCGCAGCCAATGATATTTTTCCGTAAGGGTCAGCAACCAGGTACCCTGGAGCTTCTGCCACCGGATCACTTGATTTATGCTTATTATCTGCCGTACCTTCCGCTGCTTCCTCAACATTTAATCACTACGAATTCAGCAATTTTCAGTATATTTTAAACTTCCACAGGAGTATTACATCACTGTTGCACTATTATGCATCAGCATTCAAGTACTCGTATTAATGACGGTATTTAATCTCACTGCAACTCTGAGCATTGAAATATCCGGGATCACTGCGAGCCCAATAAAAATGTAATCATCACGAACAACGATATTTCATATACACAAAATGAGTAATTAATCACTTAGCTTAGGCGACAAGTTAAAAAAAAATTAAAAAATATAAATTTCTTTGTGAGGGGAAATTTCTTTGTTTCCGTCTTTTCGTCGATTCACGAATGTTTCGCGTTTCCCCTTTCGTTCAGGGAAACGCAGTCGATCGCTAGTTCGTGTGCCCGGTCTCGTCTATTAATAGGCAGGTACATACCTGTTGCGCCAAACGCGATGTATCAAGCGCGTCGAGGAACGGTCGGTGCACCAATGCTCGCGTAGCGACACCAAAAACGGACTACCGGACCGGCCGTCGTTGCTTTCCGTTGCATGTGGATGTTCCGTCAACTGCACGCACCGGTTTCTTAACGGCGCACTTTAGTCATGGGTGGGAGTACGGGAATGGGAGTAACGGGCGAATGAGAGAAGGAACATCAGACACCGGCGCCGCGGACGAAAACGACCGGCAACCGGAGAGCTCGGGAGGAAAGCTCAAGAGAGTCGGCGTGTCGGTGTGTCAGTGCTGACGTGTCGCGAACGGTCGGCGCATTTATGCCCGTTTCTACCAATGTCAGGGTTGGGGGATAACATTGGAAGGGATTAAAGATTAAGTTAGAAGTCGAAAAGTTAATCTACTCTGCATATAACGGATAACAGATAATAAAAAGTAAGGAGAATGATGAATTCGCGAGTTTTTTCGGTGTAATCTTGGAAATTGTGATCCACCCGATTTCTCGGATGGGTATCTGAAATTGGAAATTTTCTCGAACCTTAATTTTTATCTATGATGCCAAGTTATACTTTCCGCAGAAATGTTGTACTCGAAAGATATTAAAATGAGCACACACACAAACACACACATACGATCTCTCTCTCTCTCTCTATTTCTTTATATCTCATGTATATATTTTCATTCCAATTACAATATCTATGGTAAATTTTTTTTACATTTTCACGTCGTCGCGACGGATTTGTGCTGTGTGAACAATTTGGTCCAATTGCTATCACCACACGCTTATTTGAAGATTGCATTAAGAAACCGACCTGTCGATCGATAGAACGTCAGCGAAGTGAGAACTTATTTCCGATTCTTCATCTTCCCGACCTCCCGAGAACTTTTAGTGATAATTCTATCTGATCCCCGCTCGTAGCTTCGTCTTACCGTCTACTTCTTTACTCTTTGGCTAAATAGAACAACAATCTCATTGTAATAATAATAACAGTAAAAATTAACGACGCAAAAAACTCTGGAGATACAAACAATAACTATTCGCATCGCATGACTCGAATTGATTCCCCAGGATTACATCATTTTCTTTACATTTCTTTTAAACTCGGAGCCTTACATCTGTCTAATGCGTAATTCCCTAATAAATATCTAGAAAGTTCGATCACACGATCGCGCTTCTAGTGATCTTGACTCCCTCTCTTCTTTTACTATGATTACGATACTTTAACTCGCGCGAAATTCAGATCCTACACCGATCGGGATCTACGCTTAGGGCTTCTGGATTCCGGAGCGGGGAATGCAACTTCTACTTCATTTACCGCTACCTTGCCGTCGCAATAAGTACAAAAGACACGTTACGGTGTAACGTCACGAGCGAAAGAAGAAGATAGGGAAAGAAGTTGCGCGCTTTCTCTCTAACATTTTCCCGAGATGTCCGCGCGGTTTCGCACCCGGATTCACTCTACTTCGCTGTGCCTTGCGATCGAACGCTCACCGGAGAAAACGAGCCCCGAGGTGCGCCGTCGCTCTCTCGGAAATTCCAGGAAATCCCTAAATCCCTAAATCCTCCGGTGTTTCTGATGTATTCCGATCATTCGGAATCATTGCGCAAACCCTGCGATTTCTCCTCCAGACGAGTCTCTCACCGCGGGAGGATTTCACTCCGGTCTGCGAAGGATTCGCCTTGAATCCTTTTCGCAGCGCGCCGCACAGTGGTCTGAAATCAATACTGTCTTGGCCAAAACTCACTTCTCAAAGTCTCACCTCAAGTTGGTGCAAATACAGTTTCATCATGTCTTATAGTCAAATAATCTCGCAAATTGTTATCACTTATTATTTTTCATTACTCATCGGTAAATGTGAGATAAAAATATTGCCCGCTCAAAGATAAGTGACATTAATCACATCTACAGGGTTTTCCAAAAACAAAAAAACGTTTCATTTTAAATGATCAGGAAAGCAAAGTTTTATAGAAAAAGTTTATGAAAAAGGAACTTTTCACGCAATAACGCGATTGTTTCGCTATTTGTGCGCCGTTCTGCTGGAAATAAACATCGTTCAAGTTCAAATCATCCGTTTCGGGTCAAAAAAACGTCGGTCAGCACCGTAACGCACTGAAACGGTGGCACCGGCTTTGTTTTCGAAAAAAATATAGTTGATCTGGCTAGAGCCTTTACCGAGATTCCAAGTTTTGGCCAGACGAACTTCTTACTTTCGAACCACTGTGCCGTCGTCGCGAACAAAGAGAGAGAGGACGGGGATCGACGCGTCCGCAGCGACGAGCACTTCATATCAAATCATCAAGCACCGTTTATCGCGGCTTATCAGTCTTACTCGTTCGCGAGGAGCAATCGGACTTGCTCTTCGACTTCCGGCCGAGCAGCCTGCGCAAGGAGGACGTCCACTTGGTGCCCCGGCTGAATCCGCTACCCCCCGCGATTCTCTCGTCGCCCTCATTACAGTCCAGTGAGTCGCTGATCTTCCTGCTTTTGTCGCTGCCGCTGCTCGTGCTGCTGCTGACATTCTCGAAATATTGCGACCTGCGGTCTCCGATTTCCGACGAGAAGCTGAAACAACGCACAGGCCGGGTTAGAAAACACTATCGCAACGACCATGTAGAACGGAAAATCACGACGACGTCAAAGTGACGAGAAAATGACCATAATGACTCACTTTCGATCGTGACTCGATCACTTTCTCATCCCTTTGAGTCATTCTGACGTTATTGCGATTTCCTGTTCTACCTCGCCAACTCCGGCCTCTTCCTGTCGATTGCTTCCTTCAGTTCGGCTAATTGTGAGCAATACTTAGCGGAATCAATAGTTTGCGCGCACTTTAAACGAGCCGGTCCCGGTACTTTCTGAACACAGTATAAACGAAGCATTTTGCGAGCATGCTCTCCGGGGTTTTTTTTTCCTTTTACATACCCCGAATCCGAGGAGAAAGCTCGGACCGTAGGCGGCGCGGTGGAAGTGGTCAGCGAAACAGAATGTTCGGCTACCGGGGTCCTAGGACACGCTTCGTCGTCGGAAACGCTGTTGGTGCTGCTGCTGGTGCTGCTACTGTTACTATTGCTGCTGTTGCTGCTGCTGCTGCTACTGCTGCTACCGCTGCTGTCAACGCTGGAGTCGTCGACGTAGCCGATTCCTTGATCGGTTACGAGCGAGTTCGTTCGCAGACCCTGAGATGAGCCAGCCAGTGTCGAGCAGGGCCGAAACCAACTGCGAAGATCTTGTAAGGGCGCTTGAAGGCACTTGAAGATATTCCCACTAGGAGTTCGCAAAATTGTCCTTTAGAACAGTCCGCATTCCCAAACAACACGCGATATCCCATGGACGTTCTGGGGACGTCTTTGGGACATCGGACGTCCTCAGGACGTCCCTTGGAGATCTGTGCTGTCTGGGAAGTAACGATTTAAAAACATTTAGGTTCGCGTCGCCCGGACGGAGTTTCAAGCCTACACTTACTCGTCGCGGCAGTCGTCCACCTCGGCGAAGGTGCGCCTGGCGTAGAGGCAGATGGAACATCGGCGGCGACTCCGACAGGACGTCGCGTGGAGCGTGACGGCGCGGAGGTGACGCGCCGCATGCCTCAGCGTGACGGTCTCCCTGGTCAGCGCGGCGACGCCTTCTTCGCGACGGCGTAGTTCGGCTCCTCGCTCGTTCTGCTCAATCCTGAGCTTCTCCCTCAGCGACTTGTTCTGCAAAGAACGGAGAAACGAGGAGTTTGTCAGTCGCACGAAGAAAAATATAAAAGACGAAGACACATTCGAGGAATTGGAAAAATACACGGGGTTTCCCATCGAATGGTTTTTCACTTGAAATCCCGCGCCATTTTTCACGAATTCAACGTACAATTGCCGTTCCTCAACAGCTGGCAAGCAAAAAGCATACGGTTAACGAAAACGGAACGACAGAATATCCCTGCTGTCCAAACTAGTTGGCAGTTTTGCTGTCTAAACCAATTGTTTTCTTCCCGCTCTCGCTATATTGACATAAACATTTGATGTTCCAGCGAAATTTGTTTCTTCTCCGTAGCACCGAAGAAAGGAGATTCACCTCTCTCTCCAAAGCGTCCTTCTCCTCGCGGATAATGTTGGCCTGCCTGACGACGTCGAGGCGCGCTCTCTCAAGGCTCCGCCTGGTAATCTCGTTCTGGTCCAGCTGCATGTGCAGACGACGCAGGGCCGACTGCTGCTCCTGATCCAGCCGTTTTCGCGCCTCCAGGCAGCTGTCCCTCTCGTACTTGATCCGCTCGACCTCCTCCTCCAGTCGCAGATTCTTCTCCAGCTGCAGGAACAGCTCGTCCTCCTTGGTGCGCAGTTCCGCCTCGCAGCCCTCCAGCCGCTTGTCCAGCAGCCTGCGAGCCTCCTCCAACTTGTCCCTCTCGGCCTGCGAGAGGAAATGAAAGGACTCGATTTTCGTTTGCGATTCTTCCTTTCTGCGCGCGCGAAAACGAAAGCTCCGGGAATTGACTTCCGACGGAACGTTGAACTTTCTCGATCTCCGCTGAGAAATACGCTTTCTCGACTCCCCCCCGAGTGACATAACGCCGGGGGTTGGGAAAGTTTTATTTTTTCAAAGTGACTCCTCGCCGTCACTCGCCACTGATTCGAAAAATTAACGCAAAAATTAACTCCCTCCCCTCCTCTCCCGAGATAAAAAGAAGAATTAGGGTCCTGTATGATTTAACAATCGACATCTACCACGTTGACATTCACCGGGTGACCCGTCGTGGCGACCCACGACGTCTACCTCGATTTCGCACGGCAGCACGATGCTGACGAGCGAGACGCACACCCGGCGCTCCCCCGCTCCCGCCGCTTTTAGTTCTGTCTAGCTTAGTAGTCGGCTACATTGTAGGTCAGTTAGATGGGTAAGCGAGAAGCGGAGAGGTTGATGAACGCAGCGGATGTACGATGGCGTAGAGCGAACGCTCAGATATCCTCTCGGCGAATCACGTCGTCGTCGAAGCGAGCACGAAGAACGGGAAGATGGGAAACGAAAGACATCGGAGAGCCAGCCGGGCTTTGCGCCCGAAAGGAAATAATTCCACAGGAGCAGGAATCCTACTAATTTCAAGGTAGCGATGGCAACGAGAGAGCCGCGCATTAAACTTGGGTAAAGGATGTAGCAAATTAGGGTAGGGGGGACGGTGAACGGCTGGACAACCGTGCGATGAAAATTCGCGCGCTTGTACGCCGCTGAGGAAGATTTCTTCGGATTTAATAAATTTTCTTGCATCTCCAAGGAAATTTCATCATCGGCGTGCTTCGAAGAAACTGATGTTTCGATTAACAAGTACGATTGTTAGACTCTTCAACGGATACGTATCTTTGTCTCGAATAGGAAATTGGTTCGAAACGAAAAATAATTTTCTTGCGAAGAAATTATTTGTTTCGTTTCACATGTTTATTTATTGCAACCAAATAATACTTTATTTGGTTGAAAGGCATTATTTTAAATGACAGTGTTCTCTCTGTTGAATAATGGAATTTTCTTGAATGAGACAATACAATTTTCACTCGAGCAAATAATAATGTATATATATTCTTGTATATTGTTTTCTTGTATTTTATTTTTTTTCTAATATTCTAAGAACATTTTTATAATATGCCAAGAATATTGTATGAAGCGGGCGTATAATATCAACAGGACGTTCCTATAATATTAAAAAATATCACATGCCATCCTTAGAATGTTATAAGAATATTATTCTAATATTTAATAATATTCATATAATATTCTAGGAATATTACGCGCTTACCATCATGCTTAGTATCACATGCACAAATAAGTTGGCGACTCTCTCATATCCACAATCTAATGGCGCTTCTCTATTTGTATCTACAGAGAACTCTCTCTTCAATAATGCCTTTCATTTCTGGTTAGAGTATTTCGACTCGGGCGTCTCGTATCTAAATATTTTGTATTACGACTGTTGACTCGACTCAGCAACTCAGTTATTAACTAAATGCAACAATAATACACACGGTGAATGCATATATGCATTCTTATTGTAGAATTTAATCCGATCCGCAGATTATTCGTGTGATAAAATAAGATCGTGTCGTGGATGAATTTTTGACGTCGATCGCCTTTTTCTCGACGGGACACCGGAGGACTTTTGCGCAATCGGAGAACGTAAACGAACGTGGAACGTCGAAAAAAACAGGATACCGCTGCGGAGAGAAACGCCGCGCCGAGTATCGATATCGGGTCTCCGATTTCCATCCGTGCCTCTTTTTCACGAATCGCAGCCTTATTCGACTTATGCGGACATTCCATTTCCGCGTCGGGTTCGATTTTATCCGCCGTAGCATACGATGGAGAGCATCACGATAGATATCACAAGGAGGATCCTGCAACGTACGACGGACACCGAGCGGAAACCGAGCCAAGATGTGCGCCAAGAAAGTGGAATAAAGGAGAGGCTGACCGCTTCGCCACTTTGGTCCGCGATCTCTTTTCAGGTCAGATGCCGTTACCGTTGCTTTTATCACGTCGCCTTAGCTCGTTACTCCAAGCAGCAAAAATAACTGCGACAAAGGAAAAAACACGGCACGATGTTTCACAGAGAATCCTTCGAGCAAGAATCTCGATATTTTTTTATCTTTCCGTCTTAGTACGCGCGGTCGCTCTCGCATCGAGAGACTTTGATGATCGAACGGCAATACCCTTCACTGAGAAAATTAATTCTTCAAATAAAGGAAACATATTTTGTTAAATATATTTTTCTAATTTAGGCAAATATATATTTTGGATTTAAGAGGAAAATTCATAAATGCAATTATGTATTATTATTTTTTTTTAATTTGCAAAATGATTTGTAAAACCCTGAGTTTCTAGATTAAAAAATATAATTTCTTCGATTTAAAATACCGTTGTAGAAGAAAAAGCAAATGATTTCTTTACGAGAAAAAAACGAGTTTTTAAAATTAAAGATCGTATTTAAATAAATATTTATTTTATTCATTTCAATCGAATAATTATTTAGTTAGAAGTATTCAAATAAATCATTCTCTTGAATCAAATTCGTTTGGTTTTAATGAATATTTTTTTCAATGTCGTGTTTACTAGATTAGTAAGTCACCTTTGTTTTCTAACATCGCTGCTTTGCAGCATGGCCTTCCAGACCAAATTCTGCTTGCCATAATGAGATCACACGCAATTACCTTGATGTAGTTGACACACTAAAATCATAGGTCGTATCAACCATACACATACTTATCAGATAACAGATAACTTATCAAAGATAAGTAGGATAACGTATTTGTTATAGTTATACGTTTACAACTAAATATTTCTGGTCACGTGAACTATATCTTTTTTATTTACTATATACAATTTTTAGTTCGAAGATATTGTTTTTTCTATTCAATATATTTTCTTCTCAATTCATGAAAATTATTTTTCGATAACGCGAGTATACTTTTAGCAGAACTGTATAGAATTTCTTCATGTGAAAGCGAGTTTTGTCCTTGTGAAAAAATTATATATTCTTGCCTATACATGAGAATATGACTCTTGAATTTATACTAATTTTTTCTTTATCTAATTTTTTAATCTTCTTCTTCTTCTTTAAGAGAGAGAGAGAGAGAGAGAGAGAGAGAGAGAGAGAGAGAGAGAGAGAGAGAGAGAGAGAGAGAGAGAGANAGAAAGCCGGTACATCCGTCATCCTAGATCCAGACACAAAAAATGTCGCAGACGACCCAAGTGGGCGGCGGTAGAGAAAATATACGAGGAGGAGACGCGACGAGGACGAACTCGCAGGCAGGATATGCATGCCGCAGGAAAAGTAGAGTAACGAGAGACGAAAATAGCATCTTGCCGCTACGTTCTTCTCGTCGGTTACGGCTCGCGAGTGCCTCGGGATTACTATTGGCTCGGAAGGAAGGTAATCATCGTATTTCCACCTCGAAATTCGGAGATGTTAATTTATATTTAAATAACAACTTCAATCAGAGTAATGTAACGGCCGTCGACTATAAGAATAGCACGCACTTACGTCATCTAGATCGAAATGTCTTTCTGGTAAAACACTAAAGTAATCCATTTGGGAAAATACGACGTTACTTTCCTTCCGACCTTAATCAACCGAAGCGCGATGATCGCCGACGTAATTCGCTTAAATGTCGATGCGCGACAACACACAAACTAGAAACCAAATGAAAGGAACACCTTTGATTGGAATTAAATCGGCCAAATAAACCTTGAGCGATAGTTCAAGTAAATCACGCGATCTTGCGAAACAACGACGATCGGTGAGGACATCGGAAAGAAGAAACCGATATTTATAGAAGCGCTTTAATGAATTATCGCGGTGCGCCGAGCGAGAAAATTACGATGCGACGCAATTAGTGACTGATATATCTAGAAAAACCAACGAGATTTACGGTCCGAGCAGCCTTACAAGTGAGAGATTATCGAGCGATGAGGCCAAGGAGAAAAGCGTGCGCGTAGGAGAAACAAAGACGCGACTTCTCAAACCCCGACGAGCCGCGCGGCCGAGAATGTCTCGTCTTTCTAAAAAAGTAATTGCCACTCGAGGCGGTTCCATACGGCACGCGGGATTCCTACGGAAACAGCGGTAAATGTACGAGAAGTTGTCGGAGACAGACAGGTGTAATAATATTCGAAGAGGTACAAGCGTGTGGAATGTCCGCTCAGGTGTTTCGTGAGCGCTGAGGATCCACGACGAGGGGCGATTCTCGCGGTGTTCGCGAGAAACGATGAACGAGTTTTACGAGTTGCCGTCGCACCACATTATTATTTGCGCCATCGATCCGGTCGAGAGAAAAACGCTCCGTACATACCGGACCTCTTCCCAAGTGCACTTCCCAATTAAGATTCCTGACGGTCGCGACCGGATTCTCAGTGCTGCTACTCGCGCATCCCAGTGCTTTTTAACGGCGGGAATCCTCGAAATCATGCGGAGATCCAGATGAATACCGTAATAGAAATTCAACCTCGTCGTCGTCCAGCTGGTCGAGGTAGTAATTTAATTTCTAATTAGTCGCTATTAGCCAGTAATGTTACGTTCACCTAATTCTCCTCATAGCTAGATAACGGCTGGATAAATAAGTTAACTGATGATTAAACGAAAGAAATTACGATTACGAGATGTGTAGAATAGCGAAGTGCGATGAAAAGTGGGTGCTTTACGAGACAACCGTCGACGTGCCGCGAGATAATTAGATGCGAATGAGCATCCGAAACACGTGCCGAATCGGGCAATCGGGTCGGCCTTCATAATCGGCAGTTTGATACGAGCTTAACGCATCGGTCCATATTATTTCATTCATTTGATCGAAAAGTGAGTTCAGAATACGGACTATAACATCATTTCGGATAATTATTAGATGAAATAACATGTTTTTTTTTTCTTTTTTTTTTTATCTAAGATGAAGACGAATATATTTTGTAATTCTTCCGTCTAGATAAAGATGTTCTACTCATTCATCAGGATGATTATTCAGATAATTTTATCTAGATATCGTCAAATATTGTCTATACTAGTTAGATACTTGTCTATACTAGTTTTTGACTCAGACTGACTGGGTATATTTCTATTCGGGAGGAGCTCGTGGACGATGACGAGAGTCACGAAAAGCGTGGGAGCGACGAGACGAAATGAAAATGAAGACAGGAAATGCGAGAGCTCGAGCGCACACGGCGCAGCGGCGCTTTCTTGACTGCGACGCGGTTCTCTTCCGCGTCTCGATTCCTTCTGCCTGCTTAGATCCTTCTCCCTTCCTCGTTCGATCTCTCGCGAGAGACGACGATTCCGCGAGTAATATCGCGAGAAGGAAGACTCACGATTTCACTGCGCCGGGCTGATTCACGGATCAGCCGGCGAGAGAGAGAGGGAGAGAGATAGCGGGTGCTGCGCGACTAATGAGATCGCGGAAGGATTGGGATTCTGATCTGACTATCTACAGTCGACAGTCGCGAGTTCGCCCACACGCATACGCACATGTGATATTTACGAATTTCATCTTATTAATATTCTCGCAAAATGATGTATCTAATCACTTCGAACAATTTTACCAACGAAATACACATGACCATTTTTTCCCCCGGATAGCGCCGAGAATCTCCTTAATGACAGCGCGTCAAGAACTCCGGAGGTTTGGTTGAAAAAGGAACAAAACGCCAAATTGCACAGCGCGCGACAAAACCGCAGACACTCGTGGGTGTGTCGAATTAGTTTTCACGAGCACGGCTGGAATGGAGGTGCGCGAATAAAAAGTTTCGAGCGCAAAATCGTCCCGACAATAGCGGCGAAATGTACCGTGGGAGTAAATGCACCGTGCCGCAGCAACAATGGGCGGGTTATCGCGATATAACGTGGGAAAGCGCAATTTTCCTTTGTTGCACGTTGTAAAATAGTACGACGCGCATGTGTGTACGTGAAAACCTTTAAAAGGTTTCATTGCATTTTGCAAATGCATCGATGCACCAATGCGCGATGATTGATGTCGGTAAACGATTTCTCTTATATTATTATCGATCGTCTTCGACGAAGGCAGCGGGCTTCCTTTACCTTGACTTCGTGATAGCGCTCCTCCAGGTAGTAAGCGATATCCTTCGCCTCCTCGTACTTCGCGGAGAGCGCCACGTACTTGTCATAGTGCCGCTTGAAGAGGACGAACCTGCGTATAAACGGGGAGAATGGATTAGTTATGAAGCTCACGTAATCATACGCTTAGAATGCAAGATCCGTCATTTGCGAAATTAGAGAGATCCATTAATTATACACAGTGGCGTAGCTAAGGAAAGGTTTCGGGGGGTGCTGTAAGTGGACTAAAAAAAAAAAACGAAGAAATTCGAAAAGTCTTAAAGATTGCCATTTTCTTTCATTCGTCAATCCAATTTCATCGTCCAATTATTTCATTTTCATATTAAAATAACATTTATTTCATTAATTAAATTAATATTTTTCAATGCAATTTCACTCCGTATGCCCTCTCTCTCTCTCTCTCTCTCTCTCGTTGGCTAAGTAAAAAAAATTGAGAATTTCGGGAAGGGTCTGCAGTCCCCACAGTCTTCCCCCTTAGCTACGTCGCTGATTATATCGATCCGCGGGGGATTTCCGGGTGATGAAATCATCTCTCGCGGAAGGTGGTCTCACGCGGTTCCTCGCGTCGAGTCCGCCGACGGACTCGCGCCCGGCTAGTTTCCCCGGCCATTGTTTACGAAAAAAAAATAAAAGCGGACGGAAACGGACAAACGGACAAGACGGATGCGGAAACATCCCGGTTTTCGGGCCCTCGATCTCTCGAAGGAAGTCTCTCGGCTCTCGCGCTCGATTTCACCGCGCTTCGTCTTCTTCGAGCCCGTCCTCCCTCCCCTCTTCGCCCCCCTTCCACCCCCCTCCGTCGACGCCGCTGTTGGCCACCGCCAACGAACTTTCGCTTTCGCACGGCCGAGCGGATTATTCGGGCCCCGATCCGGACTGATTCCGGTGCGCGCCTCGCAACCACCGCAATATTCCGGTCCCATCGTATTTCTTCTGGCAGCTGACTGGAGCGAGTGAAGGGACTGTCGACCTGTCAACCGGCGACTCCAAGCGGACCCCCGAAATGTGAAAGTCACCTGGCCGGTCCCGGAAATACAATACTCGCGTCAAGGTTGCCGCCGCGATCGATACCGCTGTCGATAACAGCCGATGACGTAAGCAGCGTGTTCCCCGAGTCGGAATTTCGAGTTGCTATTTTGATATCAGCTCTTAAGGATTGCTCGCGCCTACGTGAACGGCCTGTGCACTGAGAGAAGGATCTCTTCAAATTTCATCAATTTCATCGCGTCTCCAAATAAATCTCATCATTGGCGTATCGTCATCGTTCATCATTGCTCCGAAGAAAGCAATGTTTCGACTAATAAGATCGTTAGATTCTCCAACGGATACGCATCTTTATCTCGAGCAAAACATTTGTTCGAAACGCGAAAGATAATTTTCTTACGAAGAAATTACTTGCTTCCGTTTTACATATTTATTGTGACCGAATAATATTTTATTCGGTTAAAAGATAGAAAGATAAGTTTTAGTCAAATAAATAGAAATGTTAAACTGAAAGAATCTCTAAATTTGAAGAAAATCTTTTTCTCTGTGCAGACTACGAGAAACCTACTTTAACGATACTACCACTTGTCAACTTCTCCCTTGAACTTTTAATGCCACACATTTAATTTTCATAGCTAAGCCTCGAACAACCTAGTTCGACGCTAAAAACAGCGAGAACGGAAATTACGACATCATCTACTGTCATGTCATCTATTTATGGTTGTCACTATTTATGGTTGCTATTTTAGCTCCTACCGCGTTGTCAAATTAAAGATTTAATATAAAGTCGGACCGAGTATCGACTTGGGTTTTTTTCGAGGCAGCGACGAGCAGTGCGAATGGAATCGAACACTGGCCGAAAGTCTCGTCGACGTCGCAAATTTTCCGCAAATTCTCGCAATCCAACATTATTGTTAACGTTAATGTCAATTTGTACTGTTCGTAACGGCGCGAGCAAAGCCGGTTATTACAGTTACTTCGGCAGGTATTACGCGGCTCCAGAAAGAGAGGAAATTTGTGCGTTACGTAAAAGCATCGAGAGCTATTTCACTGCGCTTTCAAAAGCCGCATTGTCCGGCGCAACGTATATTCGCTCGTCCGTATTCCTTTTTTTATGAATGGTGACTTGCACACGAGAGAGACAGACAGACCGAGAGAGAGAGCGAGAGAAAGAGAGAGAAGTACAATCGGGATGAAAAAAGTAGAAAGAAGCCCCCGGTGGAATATTCTCCGACGTTAATTCCTCTCTCTCGAATGCGATGGTAGTAATTACGGACTTCCTAGTAATTACGAAGCTGTGAATGGGCACGGGTTACGATGCGTGGATGAAAACATTAATAAAAAAAAAAAAAAACGAAGAAATACACGGTGAAATGTGAAAGTAATTAGTCGGCATCGGGGATAATTGGTATATCGCGCAATCACCGTGATACCGGCTAAATTTAGCCCGCCTGCCTGTGTCTCGGTATCGATGGCCCCACTACCGGATCTGATATCGTACACGATACTTTTTCCAACGCAACGCGTATCTACGATAACCACTATGCGAATCACTTCGTTTGCGTTGTATCGCGTTAATATCGCGAACGAGCAGCAGCGTTCAATCGAAATAGGAATCAACTCCGGAGAAGAGCCTCTGATATATTTTATTTACATTATTAAGCACTCTCCCTCCCCTCCCCCTTCTCTACTCCCACCTCCTACCATGACACGCCGTAGGAAGCCGCTCCCAGTCATTTAGAAAAGAAACGACTGTCGTTTCCGTTCCTCGATTATGTAGGTGAGCAGATGGTAATGATTTCCACGTGGTGGCAAGGCCAGCCAATCATGAGTAATCGACAATTTTTATTGTCAGAATGTTCCACCTACTCGGTCGACACGCGAAGACACGCAACCGCGACAATGGGAATAAAAGCGGTGTGTCGCCGCTTTCATCGGTCGGAGATTAAAAGATCGCATTTGTCTTCTATAAACAAAAATCAATGTTTTCACATCCTGTTAACTAGTGAGAAATTGTTAATTTTTCCAATTTTAAGGAGGTCGCGAAACTCATTGTCGTGTTTTCAGTGGCGGATTAAGGGCGTTATTCGTAAGTTTCATATTTATTAAGCAAAATCATGTTTCTACACATTTATTTCACTATCTGAATAATAAATTTTAATTTAAAACGAAGTTGAGGTATATAAATATATATATATATATATATTGAGCCAGAAACATCAAATAATAGCTCGAAGAAAACGCAAAGGGATTTTGTTACACGACAATGCTCGACCACACGTTGCAAAAACAGTTAAAGATATGTTATCGGCACTTGGGAAATCTTAACACACGCCGCGTATTCACCGGACTGTGCTCCTTCGGATTATCACTTATTTCGATCGATGTAGCACAGCCTTGCTGAGCAAAATATATGAAGAAATACAAAAATAGCTCGATGGATCGCTTCGAAGGACGAGCATTTTTTTTTTCTCGCGGAATTCACTTATCGCCAGAAAAAGTTATAGCTGGCGATGGAAAATATTTTGAATAAAATATAATTTAACGTCTCTCTAAAAAAAGGACACATGAGCGTTTAAATATGTGCATATATATACATATTTCGAGTATTACTGTAATTTATGAATTTATGAACTTACACTGCTATATTTTCAAAACAAAATGACCAATAATTGTGAAAATTGCGTGTAATGTCTGTACATTACAGAAATTTGCTCTTACAGAAATTTATTGCTGCTAAACTAGCGATTGATTGACCCATTTTGATTATTTAAAACACTGTTGTTAGTAATTCGTAATGATTAAATTATAGAGCTCGCAATGACCCCAAATATTTCGGTGCTCAGAGTTGCAGTGATTAAATATTACCTTATTATTAGTACGAATATTTAAATGCTAATGCTTAGTAGCGCCGTAATGATGAAATATACCGTCACAGAAATCTAATAATGAGAATTACTGAATTTGCAGCGATTAAATATTGAGAAAGCAGTGCAAGTACAGTAGATAGTGAGCACACACCAAGCGAATGTTCCGGTAACGGAAGATCTAGGATGCCTGACCGCAAACTAGTTGACTTAGGTTCAATCCTACCCTAAGTCTCTACTTTTTTCTTTCCTTTTTTTTATTACTTTTATTTTATTATTAATATCAATGAAAAAAAAACACATACACCCTTTTTATATATATTATTGGAAATATATCAACCAATAATTAAATATTGGCCGAATAATTATTGAAATATTGTCAGTATTTAATCGCTGTAAATTCCCTGGTAATTCTCAGTGTTAAATTTCCGTAAGGGTACGTATTACATCATAGTAATAGCTTTTCACGAAAATCTGATTTTTAATTTAAAAACATAAATAGAAATTCCAAAATGCGCGCCGACCTCAATCGTAAGCAATATAAAAATATTAATCATAACCCTACATTATATTGAGATATTTATTATTTTTCATGTATTGCAGACTCATCTGTTTAGGAAGGCGAAGATTTACTAGACCCCCGGTACACGAGCGGAGACGCGTGTGCGATGGATCGCCAAGGCTGTGTGTTTCGGTCGAAAGGTCTTTTTGCAGGTTCTTCTTCGTGAAAACGCGCGAAACATTTCCCCCACTAACCTGTAGAGATCGTTCTCGGTGACGATGTCGCGGATGGAGTCCTCCGGGTCGATGCGGTCGGCGAGGAGGCCGCCGGTGGTCCTCGGCGGCGACAGGATGATGGGCCGTGACGACCTCCCGGCGGCGACTGCGCCGCCGCTGTCACCATCCCCGCCGTCCACGTCTCGAAGAGCACTGCTCGCGATCAGATCGTCCTCGGACGCGGTGGCCGGCAGATGGCCGGCGGCGCTCGGGCTCGGCGACCTGGTGCCCGGTATCGCGCAGCCCAGCAGGTCCTCGCTCCGAGAGTGGCGCATCTCCGTGACGGCGTACCTGCCGGCGGCCGCCATCGTCGCCGCGCGTTCCGCTTCCCGTTTCTTAGCGACGACGGGCTTAGCGGCGGCCACGAAGAAGCGCTCGGCGGCGACGACACTCATCCGGATCGATGGTGGACCGTGATTGATGATCCGCCTCCTTCTCGATCGCCTCTTCCCCTCCGTCGCTTTCCCGGTGTGAAACTTCCTCCTGATTATATCCTGATTTTATCCCGCCGGCTCGTTGCGGATATTAGAAAGAGAAAGAGAGAGAGAGAGAGAGATTCCTCCGGGGATTCTCCTCCTCGACGGTAACCCGCTTCAATTTCCACCGCTACCACGTGTCCTCTTCTCGATCCTCCGGAGAGGATTTCCACCTGCCTATCGGGACCTTCTCACTCGGACGGACCGTTTCGAGACGGATGTCAAGAGGACGGTTCCTCGCACGGATCCTCCCCGCCCGAGATCCTTCGCGCTTCCCGCAATAACGACGACGACCTCGTTATCCTCCTCCTCTTTCTCCACCTCGTCCTCGTCTTCCTCCTCCTCTTCCTGCGTCTCCTTGCCGCATACGGGACCTCCGTCGAAGCGCGCACCACGTCGTGGGAGAACGCGGAATTCCACGGGACTCGGCTGAATAATCGTCCTCTCTCAGGATACACACGAACGCGCGCGCACACACACTGTGTGTGTAGTCGCGATTTACGCACCGTAACACACACACACACACACTATTCACTCACTCACTGATCCCTTCGCGATCGAACGTGTCTCGCGCTAATTCCAGATATGACATATCCGATATATATCGAGTCGCTCGACGAGTCGCGTTAGCGAGTTTTATTAGCGGGACGACGGGGAGGACGGTTTCGTAATTCTCCGCTTCTCCGCGCTCGTCGTCGTCGCTGGTCGTCGACGGCTGGCCGCGCTTTCGTAACTACCACGGAGGTATCGTTGGAACTGACAGGATCGCCGCTGCCGCCGCTTCTTCTGCCACGCTCGCTCGCTCGCCTACCTCCGCTTTCTTCGGAAGGTAACGGACCTTCGAGGCCAGGATTCTCCGTTACGTGCGATTCGTCGGCGCGCTCTGACTACTTTTCTCTCTCTCTCTCTCTCTCTTTAGAGCGAAGGAAGAACAACAGGTAAATTTGGGTAAACTTCGAATGCCATTCATCACAGACATTCGTCCGAGGACCCGATGATTCGGATCTCAGGATCCCAGGTGGAACGGATTTTCGAAAGATCTCTTAAAAACGTCCGAAGAATTTCCGAAGGATTTCTGAAAAAAATAGGACGTCTTTTAAGTTTTTAAAGAGTCTTTTAAGTGTTTTCGAGAGTATCCCTTAAACATTCCGCCTGGGGTCTAAGAGAAATTGTCCCGAGGGAAATGCCCGAAAGGGCTGATCCCCTTGACGATACTTTTGCAGGTATCGTTATCTGGTTGTTTCGGTGACCCAAATAAATCAATAATCTTTTTATCGTCACCCTGTCGTTGGATAATTTAGAAATTCGAAACACTTTCATGCGGAAATTCCCATTAGCATTCACTTTGCGACTTGATTGACCTGAAGAATGAGACGCGCGGGCGTCGATCTCTTTTCAAAGCGAAGAAAAGCGTGTTCCTCATGAACTTGACGGTCTTTGTAGGCTCCGAACCGTCCACGGATTCATTACGGATTTCTGAAGGTCGGTGAAAAACAACTTTCCAATTTCTCGAAATGTCCTCGATAATACATCACTCGGTGCTGTTCTGGTAATCGAGCGGGACCGACGGCAAGTTTCTCATCACCTTGTCCGTCTCGAGTAATTTAGAAGTGCGAGTAATTTAGAACCCTACTTCATAGGGTAATTTTCGGAATCGTCCAACTTACGACTAATACGTGAAGGACGTCGCACACGCTCTTCTTCAAAGTGAAGAAAAATATCCGTAAACGGTTTTTCTAGAAAAAATAACTCTTAAACCGCCTACCGACTCGTCACGGTCCTCTAAAGTCCCCCCGGACAGGACTTTCGAATTTCTCAAAATATTCCCGAGAAATACCACTCAGCCTACCGGTGATTCACCGAGATCTGTTTTATTTTATCGCTCGGAATAATTTATAAATTTCTAACGAAGTTCTCTCCCTTCCTACTGCGATATGTGAAAAACGATACGCGAACGTTGCCGTCGTCACTCCTTTTCCTCACTACTCGAATCTTCAACAGTCATCTTCGTCATCACCGAGCACTGTGCTTTTGCAACGAGACCTAAAAACCTAAGGAACCTTTTTTTTATCGAACATTAAGATAATCTCCATTCCGGAGATGAAGGATAGATAGATAGAAAAAAAAGAAAGAGAGATAAAGAAAGAAAGAGAGAGAGAGCAAGAGCAACAACCAAAACTGTTCTAGAAGAACCACGACGTTCATGCAAACAGGCACGTTCGCCGAAGCACCACCGAAACACTCGGATATCTCAGCCTCAGGACACTCGCATGTGAAGCCTCCACTCGAGCACTCTCGGCGGGCACTCTCTTCAAGGACGACGACGACCGCCTGGGCATCGCGCGCGCACGACCGAGGATCCTCGGTCCTCGACACTGTTAGGCGGCGGCCATCATCGCGGCCCCCGTCGACACACGTCGGCCGGGTTCAGGTAGGTCCTCACGATTGAAAAACAACGGCGGATCCTGCCATGCGCGGATCACAACCTACCTAGCAGCGGTAATATCGCGTCGATCGATCGCCACCGTCGTCGTCGTCGCATACAACGCTCCGCTCCGCACTACGTCACGGACACTCCGAACGTGATGCCGGACGGACGGACGACTGGATCTACCTGGCCTTTTCAACTGGCTCGCAACTATTCCGCCAGCTAAGCGGAAAGCGCCCGCCGAGAGACCTTCCGTGCTGAAAGAAGGATCGAAAGGGAAGGGGCCAGGTTGTTGCACACCTGGCTCTTATACTTGGCGAGATCCGCTCTTCGGGCGCGGGGATTCCGAGAGGTGGGAATTGCCTGAAAAGCTTCCGACTGTTGTCGAGAAACGCAGCTTTTCCTTCTTCCGCGGGTTTCGAGGACACGTGTCCCGTTATCTTTCAAATTTCAAGATTGCAGAGAGAGAGAGAGAGACCTTTCGCACAAAGCGAGGTGCACGTTGACCTTTTTGCGTGAAAGATAAGATAAATGAAAAAGACAAACATAATACAAAGACAAGACAAACAACAATAAGACAAAAACAAGATATTAAAAATGTGAAAAACAGGTTATATGTTTGGAAATACTATTCTACAAACTCCAAAAACGAGTTACAACAAGATCTTTGTAGAAGTTTTAAAGAGAATGCATGAAAATTTTGGGGGGAAAAAGAAATTTCAGATCCTTCAAGTATTGACGCTTAAATCTTTCGCCTTACTAAACTAATGAGTCTATTTTGTACTGAAATAGAGCCTGAAAAAATGCCTGAAAAAGCTCCCCTACATAAGGTTTGGGATCTAAGTTTTGAAATTATTTCGTCCCCAAGCGTAGTCTTTAAATTTCTGGAAAAAATTACTTCTGAGTAAAAACACGGTTTTTCCCGGGTATTTTTTTCGAAAAGGAACCGTTATTATCGGAGAAATATTATTTTGTCTACAGAACACGCAGACATTCCCCGTCTAAAATTTTTAGGACATTTTACTTTTTACTGTAAATACTTTTTAACTCCTTTACATCCTTTCTCAAAGATATTACATTAACGATAGCAACTTAATCGAACGGTTCCAAGTGAACACGCGCGGCGCGCGATAGCGCGACAAGCTGTTATTTTTCACAAATACAGTTGGAAAAAAGAGAACTTTGATTTTTTACATATGTTTTCTAACCATCTTTCCACAAGGAACTTATAAATGCAATGCACGTCGCAACAAAATTGTTTAATAGACATATGTTTATACTACTATAAAAAATATTTTTTTTACTCAACGGTATAATTTGTTTTCTTGCGCCATAAAGAAAATATTAGGCAACGACACCTGTAATGATCACATGTAAATTGGTATCGAGGTAAATCGCGACAGAAATAATTCTTTGTAAATTAGAATGTATTGAACAAATAAGAATTATCATATATATTTTTTTAATAAGATTATATAAGAACAAAAAATTTGGATATCAAATGGGCACATTTAGAAAGAGGTTTGATTTTTGCAGGGCTTATCATTTTATTTCTTATTCTTGGTTGTAAACTCGATTATAATAAAAACTACAATTTTAAGACTCTTATTTTTGTTGTAAGTCCGATTATAATGGCAAGATTTAGAATTATAATATAAGAATACATCTGATTTTTTATTAAGTATGATGGTAATAGACGATTGTGCCTATATTTCACCCCTGGGGAAACTAACTAACTAGGAAACTAACTCAGAAACAGGCATTAATGGGGAAACGACTCCTGACAGAAAAGCAGAAGACAGAAAAGCAGCAGCCAATCAGAACTCGCGCCGGTAGTCGGCGGTCTGCGCTTTACTTACTGCTTACTGACTAATATCGTGAGTGTGAATTCTCCCTTAGATTACAGGAAACTTGCTTACCGACGATCTCTTCAGTCAGTATCCCGACTCGTCCGTCCTCCTCGTGGCGCAATCGTCGTTGATATTGTCACAAGACAATACTTCACAAGACGGTATCGTCTTCACATGATTTGTACCCGACGATTGAATCGAACGACAATAATTTACACGACTTTACTCATTCACGGTACGTGCTTTCGCGATGAAATTACAAGTGACAGATCAATGAACGATCGGTGAACTCTGTTCGCGATACCTTCAGAGAGATACTTCCGCATCTTGAGAAATTTCTCCTGCCATTCAATAAGAGCGTATATATAGACGCTCGATGATTGCGTACAATCATCGCTATGGTCGCGTAAATTGAAGACCAGCTCTGAGCTCGATTATCTTGGATAGCGATAAAACAAGCCTCCTTGCTATCTGAGTGACTGACAGACTAAATGGTAAAGATGACTCCTCTCGACGAAGGAAGGATCAGGCAAGGTTTGGCCAGGGTATGCGCAATCAGAATATCTTACTTTCCAATCGCCGCTATAACAAACACTGGACAATCATCGTTTCCTATTAATTAATCACTGCCGATCCTGTAATACAAGAGTGCGTACTTTGTCTTTCAGTATCAGAATCCGGACACAACCAAGAAGCACGTAGTGAGCGCTCTGAACGTTTACAAAGGCTTGCAATACGAGATCGAGCCTTTTGGTGAGTAAAATTTCAACGACGATTTTAAACGCACAAAATGATCGATTGCGATTTACCGTTTAACCGATTTCGCCTGACGCGCAGTTTTCAACGATGGCTCTCGTAAGGAACTAGTCAACCTGCAGGGGACGATACCTGTTGCTTTCAAAGGTAATTTCTCCAGGGATAATAATATAGTATACCATTGGATGCTCATTCGCTCGTTTGTTGTATATTTCTCGGAATACAGGTGCCTATTATAACATTCCGGTGTGCATATGGCTGATGGACACGCATCCCAATAACGCGCCTATGTGTTACGTCAAGCCAACCGCGGACATGCATATCAAAGTCAGCATGTACGTGGATCACAACGGCAAGATCTACTTGCCGTATCTTCACGATTGGGTGCCTGTAAGTAAATCGCTAGTCACTACAGTCCCCGATATTATTAGTCGCACTTTGATTCTTTAGAATAGAATACAGATTAGGAGGAGAAGCAAAGCTACTGATTTTATATTTACTCGATCGGAATCATTTACGGTGTCAAACGGCGCTTTCGCCTCTGCAACCTTCCGAGAACGTCAATTCGCTTGTTCTACCCATCAATTTTGTAAACAGTGTGTATGTGTTGCTCCTTTCCTCTTGCAGCATAATTCCGACCTGCTCGCTCTGATTCAAGTGATGATCGTTACTTTCGGGGAACAGCCTCCGGTTTACGCAAAGTCGAAAGTGGAAGCGCAACAGTCCAGTTCCACGCCGTATCCCGTTCAACGTGAGTAAACCTCAAACTCGTATCAGATTACGGACTAAAGTTTGGGATTGAATTGAAATTTTACCAATCAGTGCAGGGTTCGCAAAATCTCAGTAAATTTGAGTTCAGTTAACTTTGTACCGATCGGCCAGATTTAATTTAATCTCAATCCCCAATTCGTAGTCTGATGCGGGCTTAGGCGGGGTCTACAATGAAAATTTAACGCGTTAACTGCCACGCATATTTCGGAGGAAATCTCCGTCAGGCCACGCGCGCTGCTTAGAAGTGCGCTGGTATTGTGGTATAACAATGCCAAGCGCAATAAAGCTTCAATAAAATCCATTAAAATTGTTTGATAAGAAATATTTAAGTACATCAATGATACGATCCTGAAATTACTTAAAAATTGATTAAAACTATGTAATTTTTTTAGTTTTATATCGTATTTTATACTGTCAGTCATCGGTGACTGACGTGTCAGTTAACGTGTTAAACTCTGAATCTTAAGAAATTGATCGATCACACTTGATTATTCTTCTATAATTCGATTGTGATTGGTCAATTTCTCAAGATTTACGGAAGTCAAGGAAGAAGGACGAATATTCCGATGTCACTTGCGCTCCGATTTCACATATTCCACGTGACTTAATTTCCTCGTTCTCGCAGCGTTTATGCCGATGCCCGGCGGCGGGAACGTGTCCGGCTCCGGCTTTCCGCCGTACCCGACGAACTCTCAGTACTCCAGCGGCAATAACATTTACCCGCCTTATCCGTCTACCGCGTCATCGGGATTCCCGTATTCGGGGTCTTACAGTTCTTACGGAGGGAGCACTCCCAATTACCCGGCGCAAGGTTACACCGGTTCATATCCGCCGTACCCGCCATCTACGCAACCGGTATCACAATCGCATATATCTTGAAGCTATATCTATAGGAAATATTTATAGAAATATCAGATTACCGTTAGACATCAAATCCCGCATTGATAGTTGAGAAGTAACATCCTCATACGTGCGAAATCATGAGTTTTCGAGGAAAACAAAGAAACTCGAAAATGTACTTCGCTTTGAACAGTCAAATCTTTTTGTAGATATTCTTTTCAGTTTTCTTTAATTTTTGAAGACTAAGCAAAGTGTTTTTAGCTAAAAATAAAATAATCTTAACAAGCTGAGGACAAGAAATTTTTCATCTGCCGGACGAAAAATCCGAGCGGTCATTTTTGCAAAAAAAAGTATCACTTCTCAGCCATCGATATGGTGTGTTCAAATATTATTTAATAATTAATATTCGTGTTGATTTTGTGACGTCATAGGCGAGAAATGGCACGCAGTATGACCCGTTATAAGACCCGTTGTTATCTTGCGATTCTGCGTGACACATCGGCGAGATATCGTAATCTTGAAAGCTGTGAAATGTGCAGTTTTCTGCACATTTCACAGCTTTCAAGATTACGAAATCGTTGTGTTTTTCGGGGAAAATTAAAGGACAAGGCTACACGCTGCAAGAAACTTACTGCATGTCATTTCTCGCCTATGACGTCACGCAATAACATGGGTAATAATTGTTATCTCATACGAAGTAACTTCAAATCATGGAGTCGATTGAATGTTATTGAATATATTTTTCTCAAGTCACCGACAGTGCAACCTGGTTCCGGCACGATCACAGAGGAACATATAAGAGCGTCTCTGCTGTCTGCGGTGGAGGACAAGCTTCGGCGCCGCTTGAAGGAGCAGTTTTCCCAGCTGCAGGCCGAACTGGAGACGCTACGGCGAACGCAACAGGAACTGACGAGCGGCTCGTCGCACCTTACCGATCTGTTCGAGAAGCTTAAGAGAGAGAAGCAAGAACTCGAGAAGAATGTGAATATCCTGCAGGATAAGGAGGCGGAGTTGGAGAAGGAGATCGCCAAGTTGTCCAATAATCAGTCGATAGACGTCGACGAAGCTGTCACTACTATAGCGCCATTGTATAAACAGTGAGTACATATAAGTTTCTCTATAAGCGCGTTATTTCACGTTAAGTAATGATTCAGAGCATATTCTTAGAATATCAGACGTAATATTCTAGCGATTTTATTTAGTATTGAGTAATATTTCTGAGAACATATATATATATTTTTTTTTCTTAAATAAATTTCTCGATTTTGAAGTAAATTTTCAAGTAAATTTCGAATCTTTATTCGCAGGATGTTAAATGCTTTCGCCGAGGAAGCCGCCACCGAGGACGCTATATATTACCTCGCCGAAGGACTTCGTTCGGGCATCATAGATTTGGACGCGTTTCTGAAGCAGGTCCGGCAGTTGTCGCGCAGGCAATTTATGCTGCGGGCGTTGATGCAGAGATGTCGACAGAAGGCTGGCCTGGCCGGCTAAGGGCTGTCCTCGCGTGCAGAATCGTCTTAGAGTTGCAATATCGTTTTAGGAGTTACAATACCGTTTCATTACCGATTATTATCGCACCACGCAATGAGAATGAGACACAATTTCGGGAGATTATTTTGCCGACAATAAGCATACAACAGTGTCCTCGCGGTGTGGCGACGAGGAAAGCCGTGTTTCGCGGGAACGGACGTTCAATGGAATACGGATGATGCAAACACATTTATAATTATGTACAATCAAGTATACAAGTGTTCATTCTCCTTGTTTCCGCAGTACTACATTATTATTACTATGATGTTACAGTTTCAACTAGATATGTATACCGACACACTGTACTCTGATATATTTACATTCTGTATTCAGCGTATTGAATGTAAAGGACGAATGCGAACCCTTGTATCTTTTTTAAGGTGCAACGCGATACGTTGCCGTATACCTCACGAGCTTCATGCCTTCATTGTGATAAGAAATGAAATAAATTTATGCGGTGATATATATATAAAATACTCACAAATGCGTTTATTCAACTATGGTGTGTATAATAAATCTTGAAAATGATGTGTTATTTTTTTTGTTTCAAAATTTAAATGCCATCAAGTATACTTATTTTCTTTTGCCGACTAACCTAAGCTGAAACAAATATGTTAAGACTTCTCAATTCAACTTATATGGTAGATTCTCCAATGATTACAATATAAATCTCTTGGTAGAGATGTGCTGAAATGTCTATCGGAATTACCTATACATAAATCCCGACCCAGAGCAGCAGGAATAATACCCCGAAGGCGGAGAATATTGCCGCGACCAGGGAGATCAGGAGTTCCTTGAATATATCTCGTGTGAATTTGGTACTTGTGACCTCATACACGAAGAACCAGGCTGTAAAGAACACTCCGATTCCTAACAACACCACAGCCAGCAGCGGGAAGACAGCTGGGTTCACAGGTGAGACGTATCTCGTCATTGACTCAATTTCCACCTGAATTCATCGAACGGTTGCACTATCAATAAATACATTTCTTTTTCCTCTCTTATACACATACATACCACACATATATACGCTCAATTGTGCGCCTTCTTTACAGTACTTATCGTGAAAATTCATCGATTTTGACAAGTTAACCCCTTAACCTACGATTTAGATTCGAAAATTTCGGGCCTTGCATCTACCACAATTATTACATCCCTTACCAAATATTCTACAAATCTCGATCATCTACTACGGGCTATGCCCGTAATATTTACGTTTGGGCCGATCATCTACTACTTGCTATGCCCGTAATATTCACGTTTGGCCCGATCATCTACTACGGGCTATGCCCGTAGTTGTAGGTTAAGGGGTTAATTATAAATTAATCATCTGTAATATCTTAGAAGAGCCGATTGCATACTCATCGATATTTTTCAGATAAAAGGACACTAATAGTTCCTACTTACCATTTTTATTAACGCGCTTGACGTGGCTAGAGAAGAGATACAACATTCGTCGACAAGACCGGTCGGTTAATTTACTCCAGGAGTTAAGATAAAGGACGCGTTCGGGAATCCACATTGTGTACACCACCGGCATTACACTAGCCGTTCGGAAATATTCAGTGTGGTTCAGTGTGCATTCGTGTGCATCGTTCGGAAATCCTTCGAGAGACAGAGCTGGGCAATACAGTATCGATACATAGGGAAATACAGTTTTCCCCCAGAAAAATAAGATTTTTCCCCCGCAATTTGTGAAGGGAAATCTTTTCTGAGGGAAATCCTTATTTCTCTATGTATCGATACTGTATCGACCAACTTTAGTCTCTCGGTAGAGTTGAGCGATAAAGTATCGATATATAGGGAAATAAGGATTTCCCCCACAAATTGCGGGGGAAAACCCTATTTTTCTGGAAGAAATCCTCATTTCTCTATGCGTCGATGCTGTGTCGCCCAACTCGACATCGTACCGCTAATCCTAAACAACGGCTGCGTTCAGAAAACTATCAGTGAGCAGTTAATAATTACTGGTCTTTACCGTTAGACCCCTAAATTTAGACCAATTACGTGGACGGATTGCCCAACAGTAGTAGTTTTCTAAACGCAACCAACGGTTCTAACAAAAGAATATATGATTCTAGCGCGCGTTCGAAAAATTTTTTTTCTTGGAATTACCGAAAAGAGGTTCCAAATAAAAAAAATTTTCAAATATCGGAAATAGATTTTGTTTCTATGAGAGGAAAAGGATATTTTCGTTGTGAAAGTATAAAAAATAATTTAATTTTCACTTGCAGAGTGGTAACACACGTATCGTGCGAAAAAGAAAAATTATTTAGGATCGCGCTTAGCAGGACACACTTGCGTATATTACACGCCCCATCTGAACGGTATATAATCCTAATATAACATTATTATTTATTATTTTCACCAAATATAACCGAGATGTAAATTCAAAATTTTCCAACTCCTCCTTCCTTTCACCTCAGTACCGGTGTATATCGTCGTGTTGCCGAATTTGTCTCTCAGCCCACTCGAACTTCTGCTTGCCAACGGAATCGCGAAGAAGCATTGCGCGTGCGACGTTTGCCGCAAGGTAAAAGCTTCCTTCGACCGTGGGAAAGGGACACGCTTGAATAACTCTCTCGACTCGGGAAATCTGAAATCAATCACGTCACGCTATCATTTCCACTTTCATTGTTCGCTCTTATCGGTCACCACGTCGGACGTGACCACCAGCCAGAGTGGCTCACCTCTGTTTGCGATTGTCCGTTGTTGCGATTTATCGCGCAAGCCTCTCCGGAAGCCGGGGATTCTTCCGTTTTTCATCCACGAGCAGAAATTATGTAACCCGTGCGGCAGCGGCAAGTTGTTCCCATTCGGCGGAAAACGCGACTAATATTTCCAGTGCAGCGACAGGTCCGATGTCAGCCACACCTGATGGTGCAATCGCTGCCGACCTAATTGTAGAGCTAATTGTATCAGCTGATTACGGATAAATTCTATAATGACGACGTTTTATACGTGTAATCGTCATGCAATGATCGGACCGTAATTACCGGTTACTTAACCGGTTAACCGTAATTAATAAGCTAATTAATAGGTTATAGTTAAAATTTCGAAAAGATTCGCGAGAAAAGAAATTTACAGGAGAACCAACCGTATCTTAATACATACCGGTGATGTAGATTAATCGGGTTGTGTGTCATCCGCGGTAGCACCCGGAACGCTGCGTCTCCGCCTTTCGTGTCGATTCCTCGCTCAGTTAGCAATTTATCCAACTCCTCCAATAACAGTGTTTTGCCGACCGTTTCCTTCTCGGCGGTCTCCAAAGGTTGTCGCATGTCTTTCGCGTGTCATCTATTCTAAATAATTATTATCTCCATTTATTCCGACATGCTTTTCCTGACCCGATCTTGTGAACGTGTCCATACGTTTTTTACTCCGATCTCATCGTTAACATCGATAACTATGTAAATGTGTGAAGAAAAAAGTTCGACGAAAAATAAAACTTAAATTACTTGGTAAAAACTTCATGGCCCTCCCCTCTCTCTCTTTAAAACGTACACAAATATCTTTTTATAACTTGTTTCATTGATTAGGAAAAAAACACAGTTTCCGGTGAAACAGTACTTCTAATATTTACCAATTCATCGTTATTTGCGTCGGTCCATTACTGGAATCCACCTTGGAATCTTGATTTGAGAACCAAGTTTTCACCTCGCTCTGTGCTTTATCAGGTTGTTTATCAAGCCCGTCATCATCTTCTGCGTCTTACCCGTGGCAATAGATTTCTGCTTCCTGCGCGAGGCCTGCGAACACAAAAGAATGAGGAGGCTCTTTTCTCACTACCTGGTTCCCACACCGAGCTAATTACGCACGAACAATATTATAATCAAGATAGAAGAAGAACAGTTTCGCCTGTGCATAAATGCATAAGAGTGTTTAAAGTTTCATGCGCTACACACGCTATGTGTCTTGCATTGGATGCGCAGGTCGGAGAAAAGAAGAATTATTTGCCATTTGTTAGTCGGGAAACATCATCTCGCTCATACTTACAATTGCTTTCTCTCTGATCATCGATATTCCACTGAATCGAAGACAAAAACAGGCCTGATCCCATCTACTGTCACGGTTTAAATCTAGTCGACGACTAATTCGAAAAAATCGACCGATCGCATCGGCGAATCAGCCGAATCGATCGATGCGATTGGCCGATTCCATTGAGTTAATTGTCGATTAGATATAAACTATGGTGGTAGAAATAGGCGTTACAGTGAATGAACCGAGCGGACCGGTGACCGAGCGGATTTTCGGCTCGGAAGTGCCACAATTGATTTTGACGTCCTTCGTAACATTTGGTACATCCGTATTGACATGTCTGTGAAATTCACGTTATCCTTTTATAAATACGTCAGACGCTTCTGAGGAGGATTAAAATTGTTGAGATCATCGTTACTTGTCGATCGCCCCGGACTTCGTTCACCAAAATGTTTTCCGAGACAACTGGTTTTCCGGACGCATCCAGCAAGCCACGTACTCCCATTATTCGTGAGAAAATCCACGCCGAAATTACTCACGTATCACGCGAGCTGATTCTGACACCTGCGAAATGAATGCGATCGTCGAGCATGCTTCGATGATTGATTCAACGTGCGACGTGACTCCGTCGTGTACTCCCGCGTAACCTAAAAATACGCGATCTCTCGAGAAATCGATTATTATCGCGCAGTTAACGTCACGATGCTCGCACGAGAATGCGAGGAAGCAATGAAAGACGCGTGTCGATCGGGAAATTATCGTCGCCCCGGGATATTCGTCGTCGAAGTTTACGGACGCCTCGGCACGCTCTCTCTCTCTCTCTCTCAGCTGACGAAACGCGGCGCTAACGTCACACGCGCACGCACCGCTCGCAAAGAAATCGTTCGCTCGCTCGCTCGCCATCAGCTGCTCACCTCGGACGCGTCGTCCGAATGCAAGCCGACTCGACCCGCTGCGAATTCAACTGGACTTGGCGCGCTCTTCTCTCGTATGCGATCGCCGATTGCGCTTAGTTTGATAAAATTGAAAAAAGGATCTGGTAATAACTACTAAGATTTGCCAAATATTTGCAACCGACCAAATATTCGATCACTGCAAATGGTTATTGATCGAAACATTCCCAGTAAGCGGGGGACATTAAATCAATCTTTTGACGTTTTTAGAGGACGTCGGGACATCCTCAGGACGTCCCTGGGAGATTTGTGTTGTAACTGGGGTTCTTAAACTTGATAATATAATATTGCTAAATATTAAAATCATATTGTGTACATATTATTTTTAACGTTCGGACCGAATGTTGCTAACGATTGTAAATATCGTTAACAATTTCTCAATGGTGTATACGTTGTGTGTAGTACATTAAGAACTACATATTTGAAAACGTGTTATAAGAATATCACTGATAACGTTGCGTTAATGAGCTCTCGCACATTACCGAGCGGTGGGCAATTGTAAGCGCTTTATAAACTCGATGAGCGTAGCTTGATATGAGAATTTCCCAGTAAATTGATAGAATTGTAAGCGAATTCTCTCGCGGCTCAGCCGTTCGACACGCGGCGATGAGGCCGCTAATTAATGCCGCGCGCGCGCAGTTCGAAACGCAGCCAATTACGTGTCGTCGTTCGTGGCGTCTTATTTCTTATTCCGCGGGGCAATAATAATTAGGACTCAACGCGCAACAATTATAATAGCAGATCGTATCAGAATCACGCTCGCAGCAGAACAGTCCGCGCGCGGCGTATCTTCGCGCGTCCCTGCAGTAAAAAGGACGAGCGTGGGAATCGTGTTGCGGATTTCGGTTCGAAAAACTTCGTGCTTCGCGGTCGTGCGACGACGACGATGAACGACAAGGACGACGGTGCGACGACTGCGACTTTCGACGTGTGTCGAATATATACAGAGAATAGTCCGATAAGCAAGAAATCACCAACATAACGTTATTACAATAATATTTCACAGCATGTAGCGCTTTGAAATATATATAGTCTTTAACGTTGCATACAACGTTACTGTCGACAATATTTGACCGAAACGTTAAAAATAATGTTATTTTACACCATAATTTTAAGATTTTGAAATATAATATTATCAAGTAACAGTTTAAAAACGCTTATAAAATATTATGTCAAAATGTTTGCAAAATTCATATAAAATCAATGTTTTAAGATAGATTGATTTAATGTTTCTTGCTTACCGGGGAAGGTTTGTTCGTCCGACAGTAACATTTTTACTCAAACATAAAATATTTCGTATATGTTGCTTCTCTGTGAAACAAATTTTAATCAAATAAATAGAAATACTAAATCTCTAAAGAAACTATTTTCTCGCATATATCCGGGTGCATATATATATATANATATGTAGAAACATGCACACACGCGCGCGCGCGACATTCATAGATGCGGCATACATATTGTATCGTCATCACCGCAGAAGTAGAGTGAGGTAGAGGCCACCCACTCTTTCCCACAGCAGGTTTTTCCCACGCCCCCCAGGGTAACCCCAACATCCTTTTGCGGCAGCAATTCCACGGCCCGTAGGGGCGCCGCCGGGGCAAGGAGAGGCGGGGGCGGGCGAGGGCGCACGTCAGGTGGGGAGGCGGAGGGACTGAGAGAGAGATGGGGAGAGAGAGAGAGAGAGAGAGAGAGAGAGAAAGAGAGAGAGAGAGAAAATAGGAGGCGCTCGGGTCGGTCGGGCCATTGTACAACAGTAAAACAATAGAATCTGCAGCGCGCCAGTGACGTATCCGTTCGCGCACGCGGGCGCCGTATTGTCGCTACTGAAAGTATCGCGGGGAATTAGAAAAAAAAGAGTGTCATTGCGATTGAGGAAGAGAGAAGAAGAGAAAGAGAGAGAGAGAGAGAGAAAGTGCGCGCGATCTACTTCTCGTACGGCACAACCTCGAACGATGCAACCTCGAAGATATATCGACACGTTGGGAACACGTATCGCTCGCCATCGATGCTTGGCGTTCGACGCTCGTTAATGAGTTATTTTTATATCGCGGCAATCCGCGAGATCCAAAGGGCGGCGGACATGCGGGCTCTCTCTCTGCCGCAACCTCTGCTCGACGTCGCATAGGTAAGCACAGGTAACCTTCCTTCCATTACGTCTCGCCATGATAATCGGCGGAATGAAGGGAGGAACTCGAAAAACGCGGAGATCGGGGGATTCGCTTCTTGGAAAATGCGCGAAGAGCGAGCGATCGCGGCGGAAACCGACGATCCTCCCGAGTCTTGATTAATTGACGAGCGGAGAGACTGACGCGTCTGCGATGGAAATCCGGGAACTCGGGTTCCTGGAGTGCGACCCGGATCGACTGGCGAGCCTCTTGCGCGCTGCTTAGATATCTTTCGGACGTCTTGGAGAGATCTTTTAAAAATTTGTTCTACCCACGCACGTTACCTTCGTACATGTTCTTCAAACGTACGTAACGTTTCATAATCGCGTCATATACACGTTTCAGGAACGTGAACCTAACTACCGGGGGAGGGGGGG